AGTGCCACTTTAAGAAGAGCAGGTTAATAAAAATGTTAGCAGAGTTCAATGTTTAGATTCTTGCTAAGCTTCTTCTACTTTATTATTTAAAGTGCAAAGTGTATTTATCACTTTTATGATGGGTCTGAGTAAAATTTGTAAAATTTTGATAATTAGCATGAAAAGTATATGTTTGTTGCTTTTTTTTTTCATGAAGGAGTAAATGCCTTCTACTGATTAAAGAAGAGCCCATTAGTCCAGGAATGAAGGGATCCACGGAGGCGGATATGTCTTTGAGCAATTGCGGTGCTTGCTCAGATCCTCCTGTCCTTCCAGTTGCAATGGTCCAGTCTATATTGGAAGGGAAGGAAAGCTGCAATACCCCACAGCCCTCTGGGTCACAGCAATTGGAGGGACAAGGGCAAAGGAACCCAATGGAAAGGTGAGTAGAAGGATCTGAAGGTGAGAGTCACTACTTTAACAAATACGTTAGACTTTTAATGACCATATTCTGTCTACATTTGTTCATCTTCTCAGGCCTGAGCTCTCGGATACTTTGGATAGCACTGATGTCAGTTTGGAGGGTCTCCAGTTGCTATTGAGAAGTCAACATTACAATTTGGACTCTGCTGCTGTTCTGGATGTGAGTATTCTATCTGCATTAAAATGACTTATAGGTTTATTCTCTAAGTCCTGAGATGCGTTGAGTGAAACCGAGATTCGATTCATCATCAAAATGTAAGCGTTATTATCATGGACATTCCTACAGTCTGACTGTGCTGCTTGGTAGGAGTAGTATGTCCTCAACAATTAACACTTTCTGTAGCATGTATCAGGACAAATGGACCTGATCTGAGGTGGACGTGTGGAAGACTAACACATGATGTGGAAACATTTTCTACAGAAAGGGAAGTAGCTATATGAAAGAGACTTCCAGTGGAAGTAGTAATAAATAACAACTGAAATGACTAAATACCCATAAAGCACCTGGCACCATCCTAAAAAAGTAGTCAAACAATGCCTCTGACCTGGTTCCCTCTCCAGATATAATTAAAGACCCATAATAGAATACCAATTTTGTCTGTATTTTGATGGAATTCTCAGTCAATAAATAGAATGAATTTAGATGTAGGAATTTGCACTTTTTTGATATATTGGATGTGGGAACTGAAGCAGAACCCAGAGGATGCAAGTAAGTGTCAAACAGTTTGAAAGCAGTTACCTTATTGTGGGGTGGAGTCAGAAGACTCCTGGCACTATAACGACTTCAGCATCCTGTTTGGAGTTATGGTTCTTATAAACAAAGTAAAAAAAAAAAAATCAAGCGGTACCATTGTGATTAAAATTGTGTAAATGTAATTGCATTTTATGTAATTGTGAATGCAATTTTTTTTAGATATAATCAATACAAACCATGAAGATGGTTTCATCTTTTATTTATTAATATTGTTTTAGGTGTTCAGTGCTGGTCTATGTGTTAGTGAGTGGAACCTTCCAACGATGGACACGAGCCTATCACCGGTAAGAACATATCCAGTACTGTGTCTGTTTCACATAAACACTTGTAGATGCATGGTATAGCCATTTTTAAAATTCTACAATTAACAAATAACATTTGAAGAGCAAATGTAAGGCAAACATAGCTATAGTCACTGCCTGCTTATTTTGGTCTGAATTTTGTCATTTGGATTTTGCTGGAGTTATGAAATTATTCCTGTTACTTACAGATGTTTTAACTAAACAGTGAATTGAAAACTGAAATTTAAAATTCAGACTAAAATAGCCATGGTGTGACTATACTTGAGCAGGAGAAATTTTCCAAATCAGTTATTTAGGAAATACATTTTGCAGATGGTCATTCACTAAAATTCTCATTTTAGTTATTAACTACCGTAATGTGGAGGCGGATTTAATGATAATTCAAATTATAATTTATGCCTGCTCACCTCTTAGTTCATCTCTGAGAAGGACTTGCACAGGACCAGACCTATAGTGGACTGAACGGCAGTCAGGTTTATGTGGCCAGGGTCATCTCCCCTCTCCCCCCCTTCCATAAAAAAAAAATACAGCTGTATGTTTGAAACTATATTGATTGATTTAAATAAATAAATAAATACTTGTTACTCTCGCAAGCTAAAGTGATTTTGGTGCTTAGAATGACACTTTCATATAGTATAGGTACTATCATTAGTATACACAAGATGTAGTTTCTACATTATCATTGCCTTTTTTTGTTTTCTTTTGTTTTGCAGCAACTTCCAGGAGATTTGGAGAAGAATGTAGCTGAGTTGCCCTCAAAGTGCCTTAATCCATCGTTCAGCTCCTCCTGCCAAGGTAGCCAGATAGAGGAGATAAACGGCAAGTGCGCTAATTTTCAATTGCCAGTTACTCTCCAAATTGTGAATAATTATTATATTTGGACAATATTTCACTTATCATACTGCTAAGATACATTTAAATTGTCCAAATTACTATAATAAGGGCAAGGCAGTCTCTGTGTGCGAAATATAGAAGTAACATCTCCCAGTGTCATCATTTAATGTTAAAGTTGTAACTTGTTGATGTAAAAGAATCAACCTATCACTGTAACACTTATTTAAGACTAATTGTGACTGTCACTGTCATAAATGGCTTTGAATACATAAAAAGTATGGTTTGTGCATGGAATCAATGTGAATGCGTTGAGAATGTATCCCTGTGTGCATATCTCGAGGGCTGCACCGTTCCTGTGGAACTTGCTTCCCTCCTCCGTTAGATGCTCACCCAGTCTCCACTCCTTCAAAAAAATGTTAAAAACCCACTTCTTCATAAAAGCATATCAATTAAACTGTTAATAGCTCCTGACTGATTCCTCTCTTGCAACTGTCACTAGTCTGATAATTCTTTAGCTTTTTGTGTCATTTTACCCCACTCCCTCTAGCATGTAAGCTCATTGAGCAGGGCCCTCAACCCCTCTGTTCCTCTGTGTCCAACTTGTCTGGTTACAACTACATGTCTGTTTGTCCACCCATTGTAAAGCACTGCGGAATTTGATGGCGCTATATAAATAACATAATAATAATAATATCCCTGCGTATTGTGTGTGCATCAATGTGTATCAGAGCTTCTGTGTGCAGACTGTCAGTAGATGTCATTGCTCTTGTATGTGCATAATGCGTTGCTCTTTGGCAGATCCTTCTAGATAATACTGGCTCTTGTAAGGTTATGGTTAGCGTATGACCACATAATACCCATCTGAATCCAGGATAGGCTTTACGGTGAAGAACAAAAGACAGATCATTTTCCTCTTTCTGTTGTCCGTGTATAATATGGTGTAACTTTGGTCAAACTGGAGCATTGTTCCCATGTCATCTTGTAAAGAAAATGCTCATTCCTTTCAGTAATAATTTAAAAACCAGTTTAACATGTCTAACTGCCTTCATATCAGTTAGCTAATCAACATTAGTAATCACTGTCAAGGTTAATTACTAAAGTATAATTGTTGGTAGGTCAAAGGGACTTTCAAAGGCTAGTTTATTATTTGAAATTCACTTTGAAATGACATCAAAAGTTATTCGCTAATTATTGCATTTTGGCATATTAAAACTGAATGGCTACATTCAGGCTAAAGTAATCAAACTGTAATCATAGCTGATTTGCTTGATTTTCCAGATCAACTAGTTTAGCCTGAGTTTTGCTTATTTCCACAACAGCCACTGTGACACCATGCCACTATACAGTATTGGAATCGCAGTAAAATTAAAGCATAGATTGATTGCATAATTCTCCCTAAATTTCTCCAAGGGTTTTACCTGCTTCCTCTGATTATTTTTTAATAGAATGAAGATATGGTTAATATCTCTCAGCTTAGAATAACACTTTCTGGTTAATATCATAGTTCCATGGAAAAAATAATGCAAAATTTGCCAGTATAAAATACTATTAACCTGGCTTTGTTCTGATCCTTACAAGGAATAAGGTTTAAATAAAAGTGGCAACATAAAAGGTGTTCAGTTAGTTTAACGGTTCTTAAACTTATTTTTGGCAGTCTCTAATTATGAACATGGCATTAGCTTGGCAAACTACTTTTCAATTGTAAAGTTCCCTGAGTGACCTTTTATCAATTGTACTACAATTAATAGTAATACGTCCTTAATGCACATTTTGTGTACAGTTGAACAAGATCATTATACAGTTAAAAAAAAAATTCATTGACTGCTCTCCAGACTATTACTAGAGAGTAAAATGTTATTTTGGGCCTGGTTTATTAAATTCACATTTTGAAAGAAACGTTGAGTTCACAAAATGTAAAAGTAGATTTGTCAAGTTGTTTCTTGTTTTTTTTTTTTTTTTTGATGAATAAAAATAAATATCCACAGTGACTAAAAACACCTTAAAAAAACAAACAAAAAAACAAGTGCATGCCCCAACAAATTGAGTTGTGTACCTCTATAATAACGCATTGTTTTGTAATCTGTTGACTACTGCCGTCACTGGTCCTTCACCAACATATGTGACATATTAACTATCTTTTTGTAACCCTTTTGATTTAGGAAAAGATTCAGACCTTGAACATTCTGCGTCTTTCCTGTCTGAAGACATTGTGAATCTTACTGGTTCCTCCAGTCTCTTTGCTTCTGATGACGGTGTGGTTTCTTACCTCTCCACGGGGGTCATTCCCGGAGATGCCTCCCTGAGCCTGCAACCTACAGAGGAGAGGGACGAGTGATATATATTTATATAGAGGCTGCCTACTGTAAATGCAGTGCATACAGTGACTTCACATAGGGTGCTGCATGTTTGAAGGGTGAAAATGAACCTCCTGCACTGTATGGTTATATATAGCCTCTTGGAATAGACAGAGCTAGGTGTACCCCATTAATTAATTGGGCAGGGTATCAGAGGTAGGAAAATAGTCAGAACGTAATATTTACACAAGACGGTACTTTCTTTTATAAGTTATATTATCAAAATGTTGATTTGACGTGTGTTTATACAGAACTCCTATATATTGCAGAATGTTCATTTTCAACTGGGGAGTGGGATAACGAGGAGATTATTCACTGAACCGTGTTTTAGCGATTAAACTTCTTTGTGTGTTTACAGAGCACACGCAAAACTGAATGTATGAAAAGAATGGGATTCTGGGACTGCGCAGGTCAGTGTTTAAGCACCAGAGGCCTGTAAAGTTTTGCACATGCGTCATATGTTTCCCTGTCCCCCCCCAAAAAAGAGAATTCATTCTGTACAGACAGCTCATTTTGTGTTCTCATACCGATACACGAGTCACCTCTCCTCCTTTTTCCTTTTGTGGTGATGAATCGCAGAGCTGGCACTGAATGTAAGAATTATATGCTGTGTGTCGTTGAGGATTCTGGGAAAATGCTGGGGTTTTTTTTTGTATTTTTTTTCTTGAAACCAAAGTCAGATACAATTTTTAATTAACAAAGTTGAGCTTTGTTATTTGAGATAGATTTATACACACACACATATTTACATATATATTTAGCTATATGCACATATGTCTTATAGAAGTACATTTATAAATACATAGACACAAACGTACCCAAGACATTAATAGAGATATAAGCAAAAGCATAGTATTTGTATTTAGCATTTGTAAAATTATTAGCCTGTTGAGAACTTTAATTTATTGCAGTATTAAAGTATTTTAATCTCTTTTCCAAGTAACAGTGTATTTTAGTGACATTATAAAACATTTATCTTACATGCCAGATTATGCAGTATGGATTTAAGGGGTTGGCAGGCCACTTCTGTTCACCCACTATCTAGTTCCAGGGGCACATAAGATCATTGGTCCATTTTGGGTTCTTGTTTGGTCTTTGTTTTTATTTTATTTTTATTTAATTTTTACAAATCAAACAAGGGTACTCTTATAATAATTTGATTCCATGGATGGATATATTAGCATTAAAATCAACTGCAAAATTCACATCATGGCTCAGATATAAGTCTATAAATGAAGCCAGTTGAAATAAATAAGCCCACATTGGGTAATGTATAACAATTGTAAGATTGCTATACATGTACTACTATTAACTGCAAATTTGGTAGTACAATTTGTCCCATTGCATAGAGATGCTTTATATTTCTGAACCTTGTTAACTTATGACTGAATTTACACCCCAGACTTTGAATTACCTTTACCGGCACTGAGGCAAGGATATGTTATAACTAAAGTCAAAAGTTTTTTTTTTTTTTGAAAATCTGTTTATTGAAGAAAAGAGAGGGTTACAGAAAGAATTCGGCTCGCAGGCCTACTTAGAAGACAAGGGTATTATAGCGATATTTCCATATTTTGAGTCACATTTTTTTGTGCCCACATTACCAAGTCTCCTGACAGGATTTAATTACAGCGATAAGTTACGTAACTAACAGTAGGCGTACATAGGATAACAGAAAGGTAAAGTATGTAGAGTGACAACCGCCGTTGTTTTGGCGTACGTACATATGTATAGTATGTAACATCCTTATTGCTAGTAAGCGGTCTTTTAACATAAAGCGTGGCTCTAAGTCGGGTGCATTCATAAGACACAGTATACCTTGTAGCAGGAGTGCCTAATAATAGGCTGGACATAGTTATCTAGCTCCTAGCATGAAAGAAGCGTAGGTGCTTTGGTCTTAAGGTTAGGCTAGGTTATCCTATGGGTGTGTTCCCATGTCCCGCAGTTCGATGTACCGATAATAGTGCCAGTATTATGTATTCCTTTTTTGGTTTTCTTGACTCTTGGTTTCCCCCTCCTCCCCTCGTCCCCCAGGCGTGTGCGTTGTGTATTAGACATGTAAGAGGGGTCAGCATGGGAAAGAGAGTCGAAAAGGGAGAAAAGAAAGTAGCGGTCCTATCAGGTTCCCCCGTCGCCATATAACTAAAGTCAAAAGTTAACACTTTTTTTTGTATAGTACAATTATTCTGTAAAGGGACATTATAGTCACCAGAACAATTACAGCTTAATGTAGTTGTTCTGGTGAGTATAGACTATCCCTGTAGGCATTTTCAAATACACACTACCTTTTCAGAGAAAAAGTGATAACATTGCCCCCTAGGGACACCTCCAGTGGCTACTCCTCAGAATGCCACTGAAGGTGCTTCCTGGGGAAGTGCTGCACAGTGTGCATCACTGCCATTCAGTGTATCCACCCTATGCATGAGGACACTAAACTTTACTCAGAGAGTTGCATTGATTCAATGAATCTCTATGAGGAAGTGCTGATTGGCCAAGCTGGGGTTTGGAAACTCCAGTCCCACCTCTTGCCGATTTCATCCTATAGGAAATCTTGGTATTGGCTGAAATCATACCTTCTGATGATGTCAGCAAGGAGACGGAATGGGGCACGGCCACCTCCGGCAGACCCGTGCGGCGCTGGAAATAAGATAAGTTATATTACCTTTTAATATACAAGCCACCTAAATGATGGATTTAACACTATAGAATCAGGAATACATGTTTGCGTTCCTGACCCTATAATGTTCCTTTAATTTTAGGCTATAAGTTGTGTTTTATTAGAATATATCCTTTCACATTATCATTTTTAACGTAAATCTTACTTTATCTCATGGTCTCCTTTTTCTGGAATCATTGTTAGTTGACTGTGCTGCTTGGCAGAGGTCTGCCTGAAGCAGTGAGTAATGAAATTAAAGGGACATATGCACTGAAATTTAATAAACATGTTGATCTTTTTCTTGAAATTTGACCCAAGAAGCAGAAGCCCACAATGTTAAATAGTCTCTAAATGTACTTGATGACAAAATTTCATAAAAAATATATTTATTTTTAATGTTAGAATGTTCTTTACTTAGATTACATAATATTTCCCCTCCATAAAATTCAGATAAATGACCATAAACTTACTGGTAATCCAATCTCTGCTGTGCAGTAACTATTCCCTTAATGAGATCATCATACTGGCTGATATTCGTTCAATTCACATACTTCTAATAGAGGAGTTCTGGACACCTGTCAATCGCTGCACTCAATACAATGCTTCTCAAAAGCATTTCTATGATGAACGTGAAGACTTGCAGTTATAGAAAAAAATTCAAAATGAATTGCTTCTAGTGGCTGTCCGACAGCCACTATAAACACCCTTAGTAAAAATTGTAAACCGTTTTTCACAAACAGAAGTGCTTACATTTGTCAGACTGTATGTTTAGGAACAGCGTCTATGCACCCAAACTACTACAATAAGATGCAGTGGTTGTGGTACTTAGAGACTCGCTTTTAATGAAAACCATTAAAAATAAATAGACAGATGGATAAAAGGTGCAACATATAGGCACAAATTAATATCTGTTTTAGATTCAAAAATCTTTAAAACAACAGATCTGTATAAAATGAAATTTATTTCAGAAACTGAATGGTCAAAGGAAAATAAGTGAATTTTTAAGATGAATCTCAGTTAAAGGAGACTACACAGTGCTACCATCTTTGCATTTCTAAGATGATAGCGTCCATAAATTCCATCTTTGGCCTTTGCTTGGGCGTGAGCGTCAAATTACGTGCATGCCCAAGCTTCCACTGAACATGTATTGACTCTCATGATTTCACAAGAGTCAACGCAGAGGATTGTCAACACATAGGATCCTTGACGTAAGACTTCCCGAAAGTAATGCGACACTGGGAGGAGTTGAGTACAGGCTCACCAGCCAATGTCAAAGACTTGACTAAAACTCCACCCATTGTCAACTTTTGTCAACCTGCAGGTTATACTTAAGGAAAAGTAATCAAAAACAGTGCAGCACAAGCATTCATATTTGACATACCCATGGGGGGAGGGGAGGGAATAACATAGAAACATAGAAACATAGATAACAGAGACACTTTAAACAAATATAGAAAATATAACAATTGGGATCACAATCCACTTTAGTCCTGGCACAGCGAGGGCACATACCTGATTGAAGGTGGATAAAAACAGGGGTAATAAATCAAAGTGTTGTGATCTGAAAAGTTTGGCAATCACTGTAGAACCAGCAAACAAGCACCCTGTTTCAGAACATAATACTTTTTGATTTATCTCCAAAACTACCCTCCTTCACGTCCTGTGTTCAATAAGACAAAAGGGGTCGAGCCTGTAACAGGGAGTCAAGATGTCTAGAATAGTCTAGAATAGAGGTAAATAGGCAGTGTTGATTTTTACATTTTATTTTTCATACTTCACAAATGCATGTTTGTTAAATATTGAGGATAAGTAAATAAAGCATTAGAAATCTTGGAAGTGATAGTTACCCTTTACAGAGACACTGTAGGCACTATAACGGCCTCATCTCATTGAAATGGTCTGCATCACTGGCCTTCCACTTGGCATTAAAGCATTTTTATTTTTTTTTAATGCTAAATTTGAGTCCCCAGCACCGTAACCCTCTGTGTTTGGACTAATTAGGAAGCAAAGTAACCAGCTGTCCCATATCAGATGATTGTTCCCTTTTTGAGGCCTTTGGACCTTTGGAGACTATGTGTTCTTATGAATGTTTTCCTAATGCTTACTCCTTGTTTATATTGAATTGTTACATAGATTTAAATACAACACAAATCATAGGAATTGTTAACTGAAATAATACCAACGTAACTTGCCACGTTGCAGCCTGTCAAGTAACCATACTTTTGAAAATTAAAAATATTTGAAAAACTGAATAAAAACTTTTTCAAATGAGAAAAAAAAAATTAGATTGTGAGCTCTTGTGGGCAGAGTGGGGTAGTGCCACTTTGCTATACAAATTCAGTCCTTTACTGGTCACTTCTCAAACGTTAATACATTTTCCATCATTATTATTAAGTAAAGATTTTATTAAAACACAATGAATGTAAAACAGCTTGTACTTATGATTATTAATGTACAATGTTTACCAAGGCTCTGAACGAGTCCCTCTGGCACTCTCTCCTCTGTGAACTGCAACTCCAATCATGCTGAGTTCTCTGAGATTCTGTCTAAAACATGTCTTAATCTGCAAGAGCTGGAGGTGTTCTCTTGAAGGGTTTTAGCTTTCTGAGTGTCAGAGATCTATATTTATGCCATATAAATCACGTGAAGGATTTATGCCCACAGTCCTCTAATTAAACAACATGATTTTATAGGAAGGTCATTATGTGTATTAGACTAAAGAATACTTTTCGAACATCTATCATGAAGCCTACCACATGGCCACAGTAGAATGGTAGAATTTGTTTGTGTTCAAACAGATAACAATGTTCAGGGTAACTGTACAGCTTTGAGGTGAAGTGCTGTAAAAACAATTTCAAATTGTTGAATAATTAATCACAACAAATCTAGTTCACAGGCATCGGCAGTGTGGATTAATCCTTCACTGCTTTATTATATAAAGACACATTACATCTTACTACAATTGTTACATTGTAACTCCCCCTTCCCAGGCCCTGTAGATCAGCTATACACAATCAGAGAATTAGACCATCCTTTAGCCTTGCATGTATTGACTGACAAATATATATATAACCCTTAACTGTGCTTTAAAACTATATATAGGCCATTGTAACCCAAAAATGCAAACACCCCTTGACTAGAAGATATTTATGCACTGTGTGTGACATTGCCTGCTTGTTAAAGGCCATGTAGCAAAAAAGGGACTGCTCCCCTGGTTCCCACACTGTACCAGTGACGGAGAACTTCTCCAGATAGGTGCTCCAGAACAAGGGGCTGGCATGTCCTAATCTATATTTTCAATGCAAAAGAAGGTCCAGGCAATCAAAAATCTTTTTTTTGTATGTGTGCAGACGTTATTAGGAACTGCAGGTTGGCTGAAACGTTGTCACCAGCAGTTCCTACATTTTTGGAGTACCTGGATTTTCATCCATTTTACTTGTTAGAGGCCATCCATCTTTGTTCTACATCTTAATAGATGTCTAAGTCAGGCATCTTAAAACCTGAAATTTTCTGAGAGTTGCAATGGAATTAAATTTATTTCTCAATTTTTGTAAATAGCCCAGTCAACATTTTAATTATTACAGATATGCCATAACTATCTGACAACTTAAAATGCATTATTACTATGGCTTTACACACAATGTGACTGGACTTGGCTGCCATTAATACACAGTGGTTATGGTAGTATTTACATAGCTACGTTACCCTATAATACGCTTGCTGCCTGCAACTGTTTATGACTCTATTAGGTGGATCATAACTGCCTGACATGTTCATATACATTGTAACTTTGCCTGACTTCATATACACACAGATATGTTTGCTCAACTTGAATCTGATGCACTGATGAGACATATTTGCACTATGCTGTAAATTTGTATAGTTTTACAAATACCCCAAATTCAATAAAACATTTTTTTTCTCACCGATTTTGTCTGTGTCACCTTCTTTTCTAGCATTTAGTTTCCACCATTGATGGTTATAGTCCTATAGGCTGTAAGCTTGTTTGAGCAGGGTCCTCTTCAATCTATCGTTCCTGTAAGTTTTCTTGTAGTTGTTCTATTAATAGTTAAATCCCCCCTCTCGTAATATTGTAAAGTGCTATGGAATCTGTTGGCGCTATATAAATGGCGATGTTAATAATAATAATATATTCAGGGCCGGATTAAAATAGGGGCTGATGGAGCTGCAGCTCCAGGCCCATACCCATGGAACAGACCCATTTAAAAAAAAAAAAATTACACTTTTTTTTTTAATTTTTTTTTACACATTACTCTTAGATTTGCCACCTGCCTGGTATTTTAAGGCACAGCCGGTATTTGAGGCTGCCTGGCCGTGCCAGTATTGCAGTAATACCGGCAATACAAACGCAAATATTTTTCTCAGTATAAACAGAGATTACTCTGCAATACCCGCACCGGCCAGTAGGGGTCACTGTGTATGGAGAGAGGCAGGGATAGGAAGTTACAGCATCTGCCTCTCTCTAATCACTGATGCGCAGGGGAGCAGCTACACAGCACAGAGTCCAAACAGCAGCTCCCAGCCTGCAGAGACAGACTACAGCTCAGGTATGTGAAGGAGGGGTGGGGGAGGCAGCAGCGAGACATGGGGACACTGAGACACTAGGGGACACTGGGAGACGTGGGGACACGGATACTTGGGGACACTGGTAAACATGGGGACACTGAGCCACTAGGGGACACTGTGAGACATGGGGATGCTGAGACACATGGGGACACTGTGAGACATAGGTAGACACATTGGGACACAGAGACACTAGGGACACAGTGTCTCCATGTCTCCCAGTTTCCACATGTCTCCCGGCCAGTGTCCCTGGTGTCTCAGTGTCCCCATGTCTCCCAGTGTCTGTGTCCCTATGTCTCTGTGTCCCTAGTGTCCCCATGTCTCCCAGTGTCCCCAAATGCCTCAGTGTCCCCATGTCTCCCAGTGTCCCCATGTCTATGTCCACAAGTGCCCAATGTCTCCCAGTGTCCCCAAGTGTCTGTGTCCCCATACCTCTCAGCCAGTGTCCTTAGTGCCTCAGTGTCCCCATGTCTCCCAGTGTCCCCTAGACTCCCAGTGTTTGTGTTCCCATGTCTCTCAGTGTCCCTAGTGTCTTAGTTTCCCCAAATGTCTGTGTCCCCATGTCTCCCAGTGTCTGTGTCCCCATGTCTCTGTCTCCCTAGGTTCTGTGACCCCATTTCTCTCAGTGTCCCCATGTCTCCCAGTGTCCCCATGTCTTTATCCACAATTGCCCCCATGTCTCCCAGTGTCCCCAAGTGTCTCAGTGCCCTCATGTCTCCCAGTGTCCCCAAGTGTCTCAGTGTCCCTGTGTCTCTCAGTGTCCCCATGTCTCACTGTGTCCTCATGTCTCTCAGTGTCCCCTAGTATCCTAGTGACATGGGACACACTGAGACATGGGGACACTGGGAGAAATGGGGACACAGACAATGGGAGACTAGGGGACTGGGTGACATGTGGACACTGATGCCAGGCTGGCCTTCCAATTCTTTGGACAGACATGCCCCCTTGTTGGGCATTTTTGCCCCTTTTGGCAGTTCTGGTCACTTGATTCGCATCAGTGGCACACCCTTTTACCCCACCCATTGACTTCCTGCTTCACTGGACACTGCTTTTAGGGGTATGGATTTACTTGAAAAATGAAAGCATAAATTAGATAAAGAGATTAGCATAGAGGATGTGTTTTCTTATAGCTTCATCCTTTGAGTTTCCCTCCAACACCAACTCCATCAGATACATGACGCTTGGGAGGTATGACTGTTTTAGTGTTTTTGGTCGATAAAATTCTGTAGTTAGGCCCCATCATAATTGTCAGCACCAGGCCCACTGGGCTCTTAATCTGGCAGTGTATTTCTACGCACTGCACACAGCTATAGCCCGATGTCATGTTTATGGATTAGGCCCTTAAAACCTGCACTGTATCATTCTAAGTCTGACATATTCAATTTTATTAATATACAACATAAGCCCTGCGTTCAAACTCCCACTACAGCAATGACCAAAGTACACATCAGCCCCAATACGTACAATAAAAAACAAAGAAAAAAGTTACTTGCGCACCATCCCAAATCCCTACGTACATTTAAATAACTGGAGGCTTTTAGTATCACCCAGTGGCCACATGAGTGTAAGCTCACTTGCCAAGGCAAACCTCTTAGGTGAGTCCTACACTAACAATTCAACTTGCTTCTCTCAGCTTCAGGTAAGAATATCTCTAATGAGACAGAAAGAGGTATTATTCTTGGGACTCGGGATAGCGTTTGGTTTTTAATGTATGTATTGGGGCTGATGTGTACTATACTCATTGCTGCCACCCAGGAGTAATGAGTGTTTGAGCGTGGGACTTATTTTGTATGTTTGTATTTGCTTTTGTATCGCACAGCCATGTTACACTGCTGCCTCAAATCCCATGTGTCCTCTATTAAGGGTTAAAAAGTATATAGATGTTTAGAAAAATATAATTATAATTTGGTAAGAATCAGTTGTGAATGGAATGTAAAGTTTGACCAAATCTTACTGCAAAATCTAATCACCAGGTTCTTACTACTACTATGGGAAACTATGGGATACTAGAGGAGCTGTTGTGTCGTGGGAGGCAGGTTATCAAGGGAGATAAGGATGTGTCAATACACTAGTTCAGTTTAACCACAAGACATAGAATACGTCACAAAATAGTGTTGTGTGTAATAACCATGAACAATTGTACCACTGTGTAAAATTATATACCCAAAGAGGTTAGACAATGATTACAAATGTGGAGACTTGGGTGCAGTTACTCTATACTGAGTGACTCCAGGGGTACAGGGAAATTAATCATTGCCTAGTAGTTGTATCATATCGCTGATAGCTAACGGGACTGATAGTAATGTGGCATGTATTAAAGAGACACCATCTATTCATCCAGTGCCTGATTGCGGCCCTTTCTGAAAAAGACACGGTAAGGTGATGGATCAGAGAATATGCATGGAGCAGAGGAGTATTTAGGGTTGGGCAGAGGGTTACAGTTGTCTCCAGACACTGGTCTAATGGGGTACCCAATGGAACCACATTCCTGCAAGGAGATCAAAGAATCTCTCTGAATGGAACCGTGCCCCCTTACTATAAGGAAAGGGCATGCGATCTGCACCTTCTGCAATTATAGATCACTTCCTAAGTTCTTTCATAGTTTTGGCATGAATGAAGCATTCAGAAGCACCAGAAGAGAAGGAGATTGTACAGTGATCTAGACCCACCAGTGCAAAACATAAGATAAGCTCACCAGACCACTAGGGAGCAGGATTAAAGCCCTCATTAAACCATGAAGGAGCCATCTCACTCTCTCTGAAAGGTAAGAATGCGGTAGGCAAACAAATTCATTTTTAATTACTAATGAAATGGGTTGAGGAGCAGTTTTAAAATTGGCTCACATGACACTTGCGCAACTTTTTGTCCCTGCTTTGTCCACACAGATAACAGGAAATAGTTGTAAACATTCTAAAGACCCAGATCACACTCTCTAGTCTACTTTCGATGTACTGCTCTATGCTAGTACTTACTAGAGAGAAAGACAAAATTAAATCGAGAAATACCATTTTCGTAGCATATGTAGGGCAGAGACAACCATTTTTGTAACACATTCCTGACTATTGTTTACCACCGTAGTTCCAGGTATTTAGTGCAATGCTTCCTGATATAGATGCTTGTGTAAAAATGTATAATTGTTAGGTATGCTAGAGAATGATTGACATCACAGAGCTTTGGAACTCTGACATATCTCTTTTATTCTGAGCACAGTCTAGTCATCTGTAACAATAACATGCAAAGTAAGATTCAGTCTTGTATGTATGCCGTAATAAATACAAGTATTTTCTATCGGACTATTTTAAAGTCCTAGCGGCTCATGTGCCTGTTTTATTGATCGTCTGTAATATTTCTTAGGAGTTAAGGGCATTTCTTTGTTTTATAAAATTTGGCCACTTTCTTTAAGTTGGCCCCTGAACTGTAAATTCACATAATTTGTCAAGACCACAAGGTTTGTCATGATGTATACAAGACGAGGCATTGATTGCTGTTGGGCACTCAAAGAGATTCAGTGGCCCCAAAAATGATATCCTCTTTCCTATAGTAATATGAATGTGGTAGTCTTTTTTTGGGCTCCAGTGGGATGAGTCTTCTGTGAAATGAGCAGCACTAGTGTTGATGAAGTTATAAGTGTATGATGCTAGGTGGGTAAGTTAAACAGAGCTGAAGACTACTCCCTCATCTGGAGAACAGAATTTTGCTCTGGAGGCTTGGCTGTGATATGCCAGAGTGGAGACCAGGATATCTGTTTAACTGTACAAGTCTTTCAATATGTCTTCCTTTGTCCTGGCACTATAGCCCCAACAGCTGATGTTGTGAACCAATGAGAGCCCATGAATAGAAACCAATATCACAAATGTCACACACAGACAATACACCCATTA